GGCAATATAAGGGATTATATAGGGGACTACTATAGGGGTTAAGAAGAGGAATGTTATAGGAGTTTAGGCTATAGCTTATTCGGGTTTGGGTTCAGGGTTCCTCCCTCAGTCATCAAGGCCCCGACCTTCACTATAGGGTTTGCCGTTTAGGGTTTAGGGTGTAGGGTAATGGTCTGTCGCGCACGTTTCTTAGTCTTGACGGCTTGCCGCGCTGGTCTAAAACCAATTTTTTGTTTTCGTTCAACAAGTTTCTTTTTGACGAAATTCTCTGAAAAACGTAGAAACTACGTTATCTATGGATCGTGAGGGGAGACGGTTAACTACACAGGCAGGTTCCTACATTGTTGTCATTTTCCTTTTGCGTCTTGAGTGCTTTGTATAAACATGGCCCCTTTGTAATCTTGCAGGGGACCCCCTATTCCCTTTGAACTTCTCATGTCCCGGCGCTCCCTGAGGGCCGTGCCCTTTCGAGAAACCGCCATGTAACAAGTCAATACCAGGAAGGACACCCTTTCGTCGCTTAGTTAGGTGGGGAAGTATAAGCCGTCAATATCTTGCAGTATCTTAACCTTAGATAACACTAATGTTTCGTAATGGCCTACCTAGCCGCTAAAACGCTCCGCTAAATCCCCATGTCATCCTAATGTCCAGCTTATTTTCCCAACCTCAAGCCCAAACCATTTGCAACCCTATATAGTCCCTCTACATCCCCATGTGGTAGTTTCCCAAAATAGGGGGACTCAATATAGACACCAAAATACTATAGTCCTTATTATGGGGATCCCCAAATAGGTATCCCTAATTTTGCCGAAGCCCCCATGTAACCTAAGCCCTCAGCAGCTCTTAGGCTCTCCCTCGAGCGGCAGAGGCGGAGCATTGCAGCCTCGGAGAGTGAAACTTGGGTGGCTTCGGAACACGTGTTTTTCCGAATTCTGAATGCCAGATCCCGCATGCGCTTTTGAGTTTTGAGACCGAATCCAACATTTGAGACCCTTTTAGAAGGAGGCTTTGAATTGAAGCTAGGAATTCAGACTCCTTCGCCTCAGACGTGAGCGTGATGCCTTGCACCAGGACACAGGGATAGGTTTGAGCGTAGGTAGGGTTTAGGGTTTTGGGTTTTAGGTTTTGGGTTTAGGGTTGCGGGTTTTGTTCTACCCCTACCCCTCAATAGGTTCAACCCCTACCCCTCAATGACGATAGGTGCGAATGGTGCTTATGACCGAATTGATCAGTATCCCAAAGCTTTCGTATGTTCACCAACCCTCAATTGCCCCCTGGTGCCTCACAATTGGAGCTTGAACCTGAGGGTTAAATTCCTAAACCTTCAACCCTACACAAGAAGCCCGCACTCCTACATCCAAACCTAAACCCTAAACCCTGAACGGTGCTCACACCGTGAACCCCCAAACTGACAGACCCTCAGACCTAACAGCAGGGGTTCCCTCGAATGCATCTTGTGGGTGGGGGTGGCACTAGTTTTCGTTTGAGGGATGACATAGCCCTAGTTCCATCTAAGCAGGAAGCAGCTGGGGTCAAACCCTTCAATAGTTTGGAGACCTAGGCTCCACAGCATAGGCCCCAAACCAACCCTCAGCCCTAAGCACGAGGCCATGCTGGTGCTAACTATGTTGGCCTTGGGGTTCAGGGTTTAAGGCTTAGGGTTCCTTTGACAGAACTTTCAGAACCATTCATGCAGGAACTTCGGGAAGCCCACCGCATCCGGCGCGCGCACCAGCGCGACAGCATCTTAGCTTACCTTCCTTCTGGATGAAAAAATTGCCTTGGAAGTGGGTTTGTTTGAGCTTGGCAAGCTTACTCAGAGAGCTCTAGAGTCTTCTAGGGTCGTTATAGTATGTTACCCGGAGGGATGGAGGTTAGTGCATTATGGCTTGCGCTGGGGTTGTATGCAGCTCATTATACAGGGTCCTTTGTGGGGTGCTTCCCCATACTTCGCGCAGATGTCCAAGGGGACCTGCTACGTGCATGTATGGGAGTTGTTCAACATGACAGTCCCCACGATAGACATAAAGTAAGTTCCCTATTTGGTCAGGGTTTCCCTTTAGGACCTTTAGAACAACCCCATGTGCAGGAGAGACGCAGGGTTCTTCTCAGCTTTCCATAAGGGCTGTAGAAGGGGAGCGCCGATCTTAGCTGGACATACTACTAGTAATGTCCATTTTCAGCGGGCTTATGATCAGGGCTGACTTGTTTGCAGATAAGAGGTCCGCATTCTGAAGCCTGGTGTTTTTGCTCTGTTTCTCGTGCGCGTGTGGAAAGGTCGGATGGTCCGGGAACGGCTACGCTCCACGCGGCTTGACCTTGCACTGGAACAGGGGAACCCGTTTTTTGACAAACCGTTCATGTTCGAGCGGATGCGCCAAAGCCTTAAGCCCCAGATCCTAATTCCCGAGCCCTACACCCGCTGCACAGCTCAGGATCGCAAATGCAAGAGCAGACAAAGAATCTGCAAAGCCTGCATCTAGGTTTTGTTAAGGGCTTTCTTATTTTGGAAACTCAGCCTGAGTGTCGTAGCAGTTTACTGGCACGTACTCCTCGGCCTCATGAGCGTTGGAAATTTCAGAGCACTCTGTATATCCCACATTTACATACAAAACTCCGGTTTCCGTTTTCTCCGTTTTCCAGACTCTCAATCCCGTCATTTTTCGTTTTGCCTCAATTCTCTAACTCCAGGCCTCCACCATAAACCTTTAACCCCGAAACCCTAAGCTCTTAGTTGTAGTTTCTCAACAGCAAGCCTACAGTAAACCCAAAACCCTTAACCTCTGAACCGAAAGCCTCAACTCAGTTTCAGTTCCTTAGCCCGTAGCAACAACCCAGGAATCCGCAGAGCCTGCCGAGACGACGGGTCACAAGGGCCAAGTCGGTAGAGACCAGGGACGAGCTGTCACAAGTGTACAGTAACAGACACGAAGAGCAGCCGTCAAAATGATGCATATGCAGCTTGAGGATACGTCGGGATACATTGGGAATGATAGAGTTTTGGATGCAGTGTGGGGTTGTCAAATTGTGTTCGCTCCTTGGGTCCCTAGAATCATATGGCCCCGCCTTTTGGTGGTACCTAAAAAAGGGACCATAGTTTGGACAACCCTCTGCCTGGGCAGGTTTCAAGTTTTGGGTTTCTTCTGCGGGATCCCAAGATGCTTGCATGGCACCTTAGATCCCAAGCCCTAAACCCTAAACCCTAAGCCCTAAAGCCTAAATCCTAAACCCTTAACCCTAAATCCTAAGCCCGAAACCCTGAACCCTAAATCCGACGCCCTAGAGGCTAAACCCTAGAGTTTGGGATGACCCCAAATTTGACACATAGCTGCTGGCTGTGCCAGCGCACGTTGTCGCGTATCGTTGCGGCTGTCTGCGCCAGAGCCAATCATCAGCGCAGTACCATTGCTGGCATAGATGGATTTTCTTGTCACCTGCAAACTGATGCGACTTTGGCTTTGCAATTCCAATAGCAACTAGCAGTATTACTATTACTACTACTATCGTTATCATTATTATTACCACTACTGCTGCTGCTGCTACTACTACTACTACTACTACCACCACCACCACCACTCCTGCTGCTGCTGCTACTACCACCGCTAGTATGACTTCTACAGCTCCTGCTGCTGTAAAAACAAGTGCCCTCGAAGTTGGCATGGTAGTTTCCCAAAATAAGGGGACCCCAATATAGACCCCAAAACATTATAGTCCTTATTATGGGGGCCCCCAAAAAGGTACCCCTAATTATGGGAAATTGCCACATCGACTCCAGGACAGTCGGCTCTATTGGGTTCCTCCTGGTCCCTGCCCGAGCTCAGTGCGTGTGCTGGTTCTTTCAGAATCAGGTTTAGGGTTTAGGGTTTAGGGTTTAGGGTTTAGGGTTTAGGGTAGAGTTTGGGGTGTACTGGTGCTTGCGAATGAGATAGTTCCTCAAAGATTCCTGTAATGGTCCCCAGCTTCCTTCCACCCCTCAGCACTCGTAAGGAATTGATTCCAGGTTTGGGGCAGGATCTAGGCACATTTTGACGAGAGATGCGGGGAGATCTGTGGCTGTGCTTGTGAGTATAGTCCCCCTTACGTGGATAGAATATGGCTTTGGGTATATTAGAAGAAGATCCCCATATACCCCATATGCTATCTACTTAAGGGGGACTATATTCCATTCCACTGCCATAGTTCATGAGTTTCAACGTCGTCCTTTATCCATTCTCAATGCCTGCTCAAACCTGCACTGGAACTTTACATTGTTTGCATAGCTGCAAACCCTAGACCCTGTACCCTTGTAATGCCATGCCACTAGCTTGTGGCTTGTCTGGATTATGGCCACATATCCTTCTTCAACAGTGGTTGAACAGCTTCCATCTGGTGTGTACAGCTTGACACTGGTCCTCGTTTTTTACTACCTTACCACGGTGGCAGTGGCGGGGGTCTCCGCTTACTCAGTCGGCAGCAAGAGAGAGAGTGAGAGAGCGAGAGAGAGCGGTTCTCCAGGTTCTTACTTTGCTGGGGGTTTGCGCTGGGGAGAATGCTTACAGGTCATGTAGACCCTGATGGATTTTTAAAAGAGCAACCTGCACAACAGTGCCGAAACATGGAATTATTAGGGCTTGATCCGACTCCAGAACAGTGTACAGGCTTTTGGGGAGGATGAACACCCATATCGCATGCAACACGCACCACTCGGAGAAGTGGGAGATTGAAGGACACTGTCTTGTAAGCGTTTTGAATTGGTTGATTGGCCATGCTATGCTAGAGGGTGAGAGTGGGGAGAGGGAGAGGGGCAGAAGAAGCTTTTGCCGAACCTTTCGTTGCGTACAGCCACCCTGCGCTGTGGGCCTAGTCCACGCGCAGTCCTCGGACTGCATTTAGTGCATGGAAGAAGAGAGAGCAATGTATAAGTACCCTAGAAAACAAAGAGATGCAAGTACATTTTGGGTGAAGATCTAAGCTTTAGACTCGCCCATTTGGGAGCGATTTGCACTTCGGCTGCCTGCCTTTTGCTTTGCACCTGGATCCAAGGAGTAGTGCGGGCAGTGGCAGCTCTGCTGAAGCGTGCCGTCTCCTCCGGCCAAGAGTGTGCGTTGCTTGGATGCAGATCTGTCATGAGGCATCAAACAAGCGTCTTTTCAATACAGGTCCTTTTCCTAGACATTCTTAGACATACATGTTGTATGCATGTATGCATGTATGCATGTATGCATGTACGTATGTACGTATACGTACGCACGTACGTACGTAGGTATGTACGTAGGTATGTACGTAGGTATGTAGGTAAGTAGGTATGCAGGTAAGTAGGTAGGTATGTATGTACGTACGTACGTATGTATGTGTACCTCTTTTTGTATAGGTTTTTGTGGGCTAAAGAAATCTTGCACCGCCCTTTATGCTTCATACCTCTGGAATTACAGCATGTTCAGGCTTATAAGTGGTGCAGGTTTCCAGGATGAGCAGAGCAGACATGTCTTGGCAAGACTAAAGCAGATCTCATGGCATCTTATGCTTCAAAGGAACACCTCTCTGCTGAGCTCATAGTGCATTGGGGTATCCATCTGTGATCATGTCACCTGGCCCCTAGAGCTTTGCAAATCCAAAGCCAGACCAGTTTGCCATCAAAAAGCAATCTTCTGACCTCTGTATCTGCATTTTCCCTACCCCCCTGCTACTCTGCAAGCGCATCGAAAGTCAACACGAACTGCCCCTAAACATATCGGAAGCGAAGACAATTGGAGGGACCAGGAGGCATGTCGTCTTGCTTGTCCTGATATTATCAGTCCGCGTCCCGCAGCCACAGCAGTAGGGGCGACGGCAGCAACTTATTTCAACTGCACGACGAACCACAGCTATGATAATTAGTTGTCGCTACGACCACTATTCCAAAGCTTCCTTCCTTACTAGTATGACTTCGATGACAAGTTTTGGCCATCGTGCAAAAAGTTAGCATCTTTGATCGGCATCATCACTGTTCGAGCTGCATGCTAATTGAAGGCATGCTGTGGCCCTGAGCTTGTACATTCTGCGGAATGTGGCTGGCAACCATCAGGAGGCCCACGCGGATTTGGAAAGGGCGCCCCTAGCTTTGAGAAATGTGTCGGCATGTTCAGAAGAGCTGAGGTTCAAGAACACTTGAAGACAAAATGATGTCAGTTCTGCACACCGTGCATGAAGATTCCCCAATGTTTGTCACAGGGTCCCTTTCAAACAGCAAACCAGTCCCTAGAACCACCATGTGTTTTTATCGTTGCTGTCATAAATAGTGTGACTGTGCCCTGTTGAACGAGGCCTGTGGTAACAATGTTATTGTTGACAAGACCATGGCCTTCACGATGACTGTGTTGTTCGTAGCCCCTGTTCATGCGTGGTTTTGTTATTCCTATGTGAGCTAGATTTTGATTCCCCCAGCAGGGTTATTGTAAGTGATTGGAGGGTTTGTTAGGAATATTGGTGAGTGTAAAGGGGTGGTAATTTGGCGTAAGCATGCAGAAGCATCAGAAGAAAGCCTGCTTCATGTCAAGTCCATCGGCGCTCTTCTGCAACGACCTCTCATGCAGCTTCTTGCAGCTTCCCTGTAGCGCTTGGGACAATCTGTAGGGAGTAGTATAAACCTTGAAGCCAAAATCCTAAACTCCCAAACCCTACCGCCTAGATCCACCAACAACAGAACCCCTAAATCCTTAGCCCTAGACTTTGAATCACAAGTCTGTGTGGGAGGTAATGGACACGAGCGCCTGTAGCCTCCAAGAGTGCTTCCAGCAGCTTGTTGTCAAGGCCCAGCACAGACCTTACCTCTGCTTAGAAGGAATGGACGTATAGGGTCGAGCATTTAGGGCTGAGGATGGATCCTTCTAATAAACCCTTGCAATCCCCAACAGGGTAGTTTCAACATTTTCTTTTCCATTCCTTGATTCCCTGCTAACTAGAAATAAGGTATCGTTCCTTGTCACGGTATTTCAGTCTGATCCTCAAACCTTAATCCCTAAACCGTGATTGTCACCAGCTGCACATTCCAAATCTATGACAAGCAGGCTGAGCATATTCATTGGACTTCGATATTGCTTTCGGTGCTGTCAGCATTAGCTTTGAGTGTTTCGATTCTTTTCATGGTTTCCATAATTGTTGTTATGACTATGCTGGCAAGATTCATTTTGAGGGCGCCAGGATGAGCAGGATGAGGGGTGGTAACAGTGATGATGATCCTGATGCGGGCTTACCGCTGTTACTGCGTTGGCTGCGTTCACGAAGAAACTTTCGTTGTCACCATCATATTTGTGAATCGGTGCTTTTTGCTCCTCTTTCTTCTTCCTCCATTTTTACTCTCTTCTTCCCCCTCCTCCTCCTGCGCCTCCTCCTCCTCCTCCTCCACCTCCGCCTCCCGTCTTCGTTTTTCTTGTTGTTGTCACTCTTCTTCACGTTCTTCTTCGTATCTTTGGACTTGCTGCTGCTTCTGGCGTCAGGATGGCGATCCAGCAAGTCCTTCTTTGCCAAGTCAGTGTTCTGCACCAGCCAGAAGCTTAAGACAAAAGAGGGCTGCTAGAGCAGGGGCAACGTTTATTCGGCAATCACAGGTATGACAAGTTTCCTACTATAACGGTGACCATTGCAGGAGCCAGGAGGCCAACGACATCATAACATGAGGGTGGAGGGGTAGAAACTGCAACAAGGACTCGATGAGGGCCGACATGCGCTGTTTAGCCTTCACATAGTCCAGTGTTCCAGCGTCTACTGGTTGTGTAGGTAGATCTTCAGTCTTGCTTCATCTTGCACTCACCTGGAGCTTCAGGCGTGCTGCTTCGGTTCCCGCAGACAAGGGCTCTGAAGGTCAGTCTCGTCCTGGAAAGGATACGCCATGGCAAAGAATCGAGCAGCACCCTCGGTCTTGCTCTCAGCAGCAGCTGCTTCGGTGGCCTGCTGGCTCTTGCTGGTGACAGTTGGAGATGCGTTTGTCAGCCCTGCGCCCACAAATGTGCGCGCCACAGCATCGTGGCAGGGCATGCAGCCAGCTGCCACAACTGCTGGCCCCAACACATTCGCTTCTCCTCCAGACCAGAAGTTGAGCCTTTTCAAGACCGCTGCCTCTGCTGCGCTCCTGTGCCTGGCTGCCAGCCGCTTGATCAAGGGCAGGTCCCAGAAATCCCCTGTGGTCCGCCGAGCTGTCATCACCCTCAATGCCGGAACGGCCACATCCCCGGAGAAGCCCATGGTGAACCTGCCACAATTCGACGAGCCTGCCGCAACCGTTGATACGCTGGTGGACGCCATTGTGGACACACAGGTGGATCAACGCATTACCAACATGCCGGAGTTGTTCTCCTTGGACCCCGAGTTGCCCTCCCTCACGGTCATTCCCGACACTCAAACAAGTGCGACATGGGCAACAGCGGACACAGCCACAACAACGTCTGTGACCGTCTCGTGCCTTTGTGGGAAGTGGCTGGGTTCCTGTTTAGGATGCTTTTTGCTGTGGTGGTCTGGGTTCTGTATGTGGCTTCCGTAGCGAATTAGGTGTCAGCTGTGTGGCTTTCGTAGCGAATTAGGTGTCAGCTGTGGGGTCATTGTCATTCTGGTAACAAACACATAATGAGATGAAGCAGCTTCGCACACACACATCCTGGGCAGCCCTACTGAAAAGTGTCATGCCCCACCATAGTCGTCAGATAGCGATACCTAGGTGCAGGGTCCCAATAGTAGCCAGGATGAGAAGAGCACCCATCTACAGTCATAGAATTAAGACATTTTATGGTATATTTATAGTATATTTGTATATTATGGTATTTTATCGTATATGGTAGTTTCCCTAAATAGGGGAACCCCAATATGGACCCCAAAATACCCCAACAGGTACCCCTATTTGTGGGAAACTCACTTATCAGAAAGTAGTATCCGAGCCCTAGATGCTGAACATAATAAGCTAAACCCTAAACCCTAAACCCTAAACCCTAAGCCCTAAACCCTAAACCCTAAACCCTAAACCGTATAAAATCACGCTTGGCGAGCTTCGGGCTCTCACATTACGCCTTGAACCCTACGCCCCTCAAATCCCAACCTCCAACTCCCAACTTTCAACCCCAATGAGCGCTGGTCTAAGCTCCTTTAAGCGGGGTTATATAGGGGGTTATATAAGGAGTACTATAGGGCTTATTTAGGGGGATACTAAGAGTGTAGACTAGAGCTCATATAGGGCGGTATATAGGGGACTATTATAGGGAGTATATAGGGGTTAAACAGGGATAATGGAAAAATGGAAACTATTACAATGTGGTTATATAGGGTTTATTGGTTTTTAGGCTTTAGGCCCAGGCTCTTACATCCTGCCCAAAACCCTGTGCAACTTCATGTAGAAGGAATCATTGCAAATGATGCCGTATATCATATAGCCCAAACACTATTCTCAGTAGTTACCACCCCTACCTTGCAATCCTTATTTACCTACATGAGCCCAGTATTCATTGGTTCCATGTTCTTTTCCATTTGATTCTCTGTATCCTTTTCAAGGCCTTTAGACCGTAATTCCAACTGAAACCCCTAACCCCTCATGATCACGGTGTATTTCCCCATATAGCCATCAACCCCATATAATCCCTAAACCTAAACCCCAAATGCTTGACGCTACTTGGATATTCATGGGACTTACTGACTATTCATAACGGGGTTTATAATCCTGTTTACAGCCCCCCCTAACTGGCCTTTCAGGGGTTACCCCGATTATAGGTAGGGTTATAAGCCCAGTTATGCGTAATAACTAAGTCCCATGAACCTCCATGTAAACCCTAAGGGCCAGTATCTTATTGGGGCTTAGTTGGGAATGAGGGAATATGATCCTATTTGATCGCCATGGAAATACACGTATTCCCTTACTCCCTACTAACCCTAAAGCCTAACCCTAGACCCTAAACCCTATAGCATATTCCCTTGTTCCCTACTAGCCCCCAGTGAGTTACGGCAGCATCTCAATTCTGAACCCTAAACGATAAACCCTAAACCTTAAACCTTAAACCCTAATTCCTTGGGTCATTCCCCCACTCAGTAACTGTCCTTAAAGGGGGCCTTATTAAGGGGCTATTATAATTTCTATTACCTCTTGTGGTAACTGTTACTGTAAGGGGGAATAACCCTAAACCTTACACCCTAAACCCTAAACCCTAAACCTTAAATCCTAAACTCTAAACCCTAAACCCAACCCTGAGTCCCTCGTTTTCAATCCTAGGCTGGGCTCTGCGCGCTTTGCGGCTGGGGCTCGCCACGCGCAGCACCGACACTCGATTGGCATTTGGGGCTTTCCCAAAATTAGGGTTTAGGGTTTAGGGGTTTAGGGTTTAGGGTTTTGGGCTTAGAGTTTAGGGTACCATTTTGGGGGACCCCATAGTAAGGGTTATAATATATTGGGGTCTATATTGGAGATCCCCCTATTCTGAGAAACCTACCATTTGGGTGGCGTTGTAGTTTTTGTAGGCTTTCCAGTTCAGGGTTTAGGGTTTAGGTTTAGGGTTGAGGATTTAGTGTTTAGGGCTTGGGTTTTGGGTTTAGGATTCAGGGTTTAAGATTTTTCAGGATTTAGGGTTTAGGGTTTCAAGGTATTAGGCTTTGGGATTAGGGTGTAGGGTTTTTAGTGCATGAGGGGGTTTTCATCAATGTAGGGCAGCAATATATAGCCCAATATGCGATGCTGCTCCTCAAAGGGAGGGGGCTTCAAATTTTCGGAATCGCCCGCGTGGATTGACGTTTTTTGGATTTTACGGCCTAGAGACGTTGAAGATTTATGGCTTTACCGTCCCCAAAGAATCCACCATGTTGAGAAATCCGCATGTGGGTTGTCCAGGCGGGGTTTTTGGTCTAAACCCTAAACCCTA